AAGATGCCAGCTTGGGCAGCCTTGAGGGCTGTAGGGCCATGGAGCTGGGGTGGGCTGCAGGTCTGGGAGCCTAGGGCTGTGGGGCTGGGGACCAGGGAATATGGGGTGGGGGGCTGGGGAGGCCTTGGGACGGCGACCAAGGGACTTGGGAGCCACAGGGTTGTAAGGCTGTGGGATGGGGACCAGGGGCTGGAGGGGTTGCAGGGCCATGGGATGAGGACCAGGGGACCGGAGGCCATGGGGCCATGGAGCTGAGGCCCCCCAGCACCACCCCCCAGCCCCATGCCGTGTGGCGCAAGGAAGCCGCAACCTTGCTGCTTCCTGCTGCAGCAGCTGCTGGGTTTCCTGCAGGTCTCTGAGCCCTGGCTGCCCCAGCACCCCCAGTCCCTCCAGTCCCCCCAGTCCCCCATACCCCGGGGTCAGGCATTGGCTCCCCTGGCACCAGGAACTGGGGCAGCACATGGTCCCACCACTGCTTGCGGACAGGATTGCTGTGGGGCATTGCCATGGTTGGAGGGGAATCCATGGCCATGGGGCACAGCCTGGCTGTGGGGCACATCCTGGCCATGGGACGCATGGTTGTAAGGCACAGTGTGGCCATGGGACACAGCCTGGCCATGGGACACAACATTGTCCAGTGAGTCCTGGCCCTGCAGGCCCTGCTGCCACCCGTGGCACTGCTCAGCCCCATTCCACCACGACCTGGGGCCATGCCAGCCATGGGACATGGTCCGCCCTGACCCCCAGTCCTGTGCCCTGCAGATGGCGAGGGCCAGGCTGTAGTGTGCCCAGGTGCCCTGAGCGGGGTGAGGATGCTGGCAGGGCGGTGGCGGCTGGAGGGGCGGCAGTGGCGGCGTGCTGAGCCGGCCGTGGTGCTCCGTGCCCTCTACAACTATGCATACTGTGCTGAGGACGGGCGGCACGTGGCCATGGCTGCTGGCGAGCAGTTCCTGCTGCTCCACAAAGCCAATGAGGACTGGTGGCAGGTGAGACGGGCCAGCGAGCCCCGCTGGGCTCGGCCCTTCTTTGTCCCTGCTACCTACGTAGCCGAGCTGGACCCTGGTGACACCGGGAGACAGAGCATGCTGCCCCCCAGCCAGCCTGCAGGCATGGGTGAGTGTGGCAGGGGGGCAGGCTGGGGCCATGGGGCAGGGAGGCACAGGATGGCAGGACACTAGGAGAATGGAGCCATGGGGCACTGAGGTGGCGGCAAGGGATTGGGGGCATTAGGGGCATAGGATGAGGGGACACTGGGAGTACAGGGCTGGGGGGGACACCACTGGGAGTTCGGGGCTGTGGGTCTGGGTGCACAAGGCTGGGTGAAGATCAGGGCTGGGGGCACTAAGGTCACAGGATAAGGGGGCACTGGAGGGACAGGGCTGGAGGACCCATTGAGGGCACAGGGCTGGGAGACACCCGTGAGGGGCAATGGGGGCCAAAAGGCTGAGAGTGCAGAAGGTGGAAGGGGCACAGGGCTGCAGGCACTGGGAGACACCGGGGACATGGGGCTGGGGGTACAGAGGGCAGGGGGACACCGGGGAAAACAGGGTTGGGTCTCTGTCCCCCACCTGCAACCCAGAGCATCATTTTGGGTTGGTGGGTACCCTCTTCTCTTCCCCCAGGCCTGCCACCACAGTACCGCTCACTGGAGGACCTATGTGGCTCCCCCCCGGCCCCCCCCCAGGAGGCCAGGCTCACCCCCACGCGCCCCACGGGCAAAAAGGCCAGGCTCACCCCCACGCGCCCCATGGGCCACTGCATCAGCACCAGCCAGCTGGCAGAGGGGGGTGGGGCCCTGCCTGCCCCCCCCCACCAGCTGCCACGGTGCCAGTCCCAGCAGGAGCGGCTGGCCCAGGGCACTGGGGTGAGTGGGGGCCAGGTGGGCCCCAGAGAACGCCCTGTGCTCCCAGCCCTGTTCCCTTCTGAGCCCCTGCAGCCCTGCCGATGCTCCCTATTGCCGCACACACACCCCCAGCCTTTGCACCTTCCTTCCCTCAACCCGGACCCTGCATCTCCAACCTGTGTCCTCTCCCTGCACGCCTACACCCCCAACCTCACCCACCTCCACCCCCTGCATGCCCAACCTCGCCCCCTTGCATCGCCTACCTGCACCCCCCAACTTCTCTGCATTGCCCACCTGCACCTCCCAAATTTACCCCCCTGCATTGCCCACCTGCACCCCCCACCCGCATACCCCTGCTTTGCCTGCCTTCAC